TAATACTTGGGTAATTAGATCAAATTTATCATAATTTCTTCTTCTTTCTCTAGAAATTAGGGAATATTAATTAATGGAATGAGTTATCAATAGAAAAATTAATTAAGGATGATAAGCATAATATTTAAAAATAATAATAAAAAATAAAAAATAAAACAAATGGGTCAATCCGTCAACCCGTCAACCCGTCAACCCGCGGGTTAACCCTAACCCGATTTGTGATCCGTACGAGTTAATAATACAAGTTATCTACAGACTGTGAGTTGAGATTGAGATGTGTAGATTTTAACCCATTTTTTAAGGGTCGAGTTAGGGTTAGATTGACGGGTTTGGTGAATTTTTGTCATGTCTAATCACTCATATATCAGCGCCAAAAGTAAACAAGTTTGGGCCCCATGGGTCAGTTTACCTATTGTTACTTTTTTTATTTTTTTATTTTTCTTTTTTCTTTTTAAATATATATAAATTTAAAAGAGGGGATTTAAGTGTAACAGTAAAAGCTAAAAATATCATCTTCTATAATCATTTATAACTAATTAATCTTTTAAGTTAGGTTCTATTGTTATTTGATTCTAATTTAAATGTTTTTAAAAATTAGTATATTTTATCTGATAATTAGTATTTTCTCATATCAAAGATTCCCATATGTTGGGAACTAAACAGTTTCATTTATTTATATATAAATGAGTTTGAATTGTATCAACAAGTATAGTTTAAAATTATATCATTTATTTAAATATTATAAAAAATATTAAAATAAATTTAATTATTTTTTTAAAATTAATTATTTTAATTTTTAATAAAAATTTCTTAAAATAATATAATTTTAATTTTTTTTAATTTTTAAAAAATTTTATTGATAAACACTTTTTTTTATATACAATATATAAAACAAATTAATAATTTGTCTAATATGACGTGTTTAGATATGTGTGAACTCAATTTTTTCAATTTTTTTTCAAAAGAATTAATCGGACCGTCTGCATTTAATGGTCATTGAATTTTCTAACCTTGAACAGTGTCAAAATAATTGAGAACAAAAACTTAAACATCCTTATCACCTTTTCAGTGTTCCATCTTAGGTAAAACATTGTTTTTCAGTATCGATTATTTGGATGTGGTTATTGCCACCAAAGTTTTAAGAAATTTTTAGAAAGTAATA